CTCCCTCTTCCCTCCTCCCCTCCTCCCTCCCTCCCTCCTCCTCCCCCCTCCTCCCTCCCTCCTTCCCTCCCTCCCTCCCTCCCTCTCCCTCCCTCCCTCTCCTCCCTCCCCCTCCCTCCCTCCCTCCCTCCTCCCTCCCTCCCTCCCTCCTCCCTCCCTCCCTCCCTCCCTCCTTCCCTCCCTCCCTCCTTCCCTCCCTCCCTCCCTCCCTCCCTCCCTCCCTCCCTCCCCTCCCTCCCTCCCTCCCTCCCTCCCTCCCTTCCCTCCCTCCCTCCTCCCTCCCTCCCTCCCTCCCTCCCTCCCTCCTCCCTCCTCCCTCCCTCCCTCCCTCCCTCCTCCCTCCCTCCCTCCTCCTCCTCCCTCCCTCCCTCCCTCCCTCCCTCCCTCCCTCCCTCCCTCCCTCCCTCCCTCCTCCCTCCCTCCTCCCTCCCTCCCTCCCTCCTCCCTCCCTCCCTCCCTCCCTCCTCCCTCCCTCCCTCCCTCCCTCCCTCCCTCCTCCCTCCCTCCTTCCCTCCCTCCTCCTTCCCTCCCTCCCTCCTCCCTCCTCCCTCCTCCCTCCCTCCCCTCCCTCCCTCCTCCCTCCCTCCTCTCCCTCCCTCCCTCCCTCCCTCCCTCCTCCCTCCCTCCCTCCCTCCCTCCTCTCCCTCCCTCCCTCCCCTCCTCTCCCCTCCCTCCCTCCTTCCCCTTCCCTCCCTCCCTCCCTCCCCTCCCTCCTCCCTCCCCTCCCTCCCTCCCTCCCTCCTCCTCCCTCCCCTCCTCCCTCCCCTCCCCTCCTCCCCCCCCCTCCTCCCTTCCCTCCCTCCCCTTCCCTCTCCTCCCTTCCCTCCCTCCCCTCCCTCCCCTCCCCTCCCTCCCTCCCTCCCTCCCTCCCTCCCCCCTCCCTCCCTCCCCCTCCCTCCCTCCCTCCCTCCCTCCCTCCCTCCTCCCTCCCTCCCTCCCTCTCCCTCCCTCCTTCCCTCCCTCCCTCCCTCCCTTCCCTCCCTCCCTCCCTCCCCCTCCCTCCCTCCCTCCCTCCCTCCCCTCCCTCCCTCCCTCCCTCCCTCCCTCCCTCCCTCCCCTCCCTCCCTCCCTCCCTCCCTCCCTCCCTCCCTCCCTCCCTCCCTCCCTCCCTTCGGTACCCCTTCCTTATCTCTCCGTTCTACTCCTTCATCACCGCATCCCCACGCTCAGAACCACTGGGCGTACAAGAAGGATCCGAGAAACCTCTTCCCCAGCCATGCCATGCTGCCCCCCGGCTGCTGCTTTGCTGCCTTTGCTCCCCTGATTTACCCCTCCCTCCCCTCGTCACCCCTTCCTTATCCCTCCTGTCAACTCCTTTGTTACCGCATCCCAACGCTCAGAACCACTGGGCGTACAAGAAGGATCCGAGAAACCTCTTCCCTGGATATGCATTTCTGCTTGCTGCTGCTGCTGCCCTTGCTCCCTGGCCCCTGCCTGATTGCTGATCGTTCTTCCTCTGTCACTTCCCCCGCTTCACCCTTGCCCCACTCACACCGCCCTTGCATCAGAACCACTGGGCGTACAAGAAAGATCCAAGAAATCTCTTCCCCGGATATGCCATGCTGCCCGCTGCTGCTGCATTTGCTCCCCGCCCACCGCCTCGGCGGGAAGCAGAGGAGGAAGAGAGGGAGAGGGAGAGGGTGGTTGAGGCTGCGGACTTGATTGGTCGGCGTGTGCAGTACCGTGGTGTTGGCAACATTGTGAATAAGAGAGCGGTAAGAGATGAGTGTTAGGAGAAAGGAGGCAGGGGAGGAAGAGAGGGAAAGGGAGAGGGTGGTTGAGGCGGCGGGCTTGGTTGGTTGGCCTGTTCATTACAGGGCTGTTGGCAACATTGTGAATAAGAGAGTAGTAAGAGATGGAAACATTGCATCACTGAGAACAGAGAAGCACAGAGCAATACAGAGCAGCACAGAGAGAAACAGGGCAGCACAGAAAAAAACAGAGCGGCACGGAGCAAAACAGGGCAGCACAGAACAAACAGGGGAGCAGAGAACAAAACAGGGCAGCACGGAGAAAAAACAGGGCAGAAGCTATGGCAACGCTAGAATGGTGCATTCAACATCATGTTCAGAAAAAACAGCTATATTATTCTGGAAATAGTATTTTGAGTCAACTCTAAATACATATTCAGGAAAAACATCAGTATCATTCTGGAAAGAACTGCTCATGCTATATTCAGGAAAGTAGGTCCTTTTGATTCAGACTCTTTCCTCATTCTTCTTCACTCCTGTCCACCACTCTCCACACCCCCATTCCCCCGACTGTTTTCCCTGCCCGACAGCCAAGGGCAGCAGGCATGGCAGCGCCGGACGTTATGCAATCAGAAATTGGCACGCACCCATTCAATCCTCCTCCTCACCACTCTGGATCCCCCATTCACAGCCCTGTGCTGTGCGCCCATCCCTCACCCTGTCGGCTTCTCCCTGTCGGCAGCAATGGGCAGCAGGCATGGCAGCACCTAAAGGGATGCGCTCAGCACACACCCCTTCATTCCTATTCACCGCTCTTAACCCCTCTCTCCCTGTCGGCAGCAAAGAGCAGCAGGCATGGCAGCGCTGGAGGTGATGCAATCAGCACGCGCCACGTGGCGGAGATGGGCCAAGAGGATAAGGAGAGGGGATGGGGTGAAGGAGGAGAGGCGAGATGAGAAGGAAAATGAAGATGATGAGGAGGATGAGGAGGAGGATGAAGAGGAGGAGGAGGAGGATGAGGAGGAGGAGGAAGGGGAGGGGATGCCGGTGGATGGATGGAAGGGGCTGTTCTCCATTGGGGCGAGGTGGAGGCAGATTGTGGAGCCGTGTGAGCCGGTGATATGGACAGAGCGACTGAGGTGAGTGAGGGTGTGTTGGCATGGGAGCACTGAGGAGTGTAACGAGGTGGATGGATGGAAGTGGCTTTTCCCCGTTGGGGCGAGGTGCAGGCAGATTGTGGAGTTGTGTTCGCTGTTCTACTCTTTCTCTGCGGACTTCACCTCCCCAAACCCTCCGCGTCCGCACACACGAGGCCACGTCCGCATGCGTGCGTGGGCACGGCCCTGCATCCACGCATGCGTGCGTGTGTGTTCTACTCCATGTGCGCTGTTCTACTCCTTCTCCCCGGACTCCAGCTCCCCACACCCCCCCCCCCCCCCCCCCCCCCTCCTGAAGTAGATACAAGCTCTCTGTGATTGGATACAAGCTCTCTGTGATTGGATACAAGCTCTCTGTGATTGGATACAAGCTCTCTGTGTGATTGGATACAAGCTCTCTGTGATTGGATGGAAACCCCGTCGCACCCTTCTCTCTACCTCACCCACCTCCGCAGCCTCCTCATCTCCCCATGCGTGATTTCACGACTTCCCGCGCTCTCCTTCCCGCGCTCTCCTTCCCGCGCTCTCCTTCCCGCGCTCTCCTTCCCGCGCTCTCCTTCCCGCGCTCTCCTTCCCGCGCTCTCCTTCCCGCGCTCTCCTTCCCGCGCTCTCCTTCCCGCGCTCTCCTTCCCGCACTCTCCTTCCCGCACTCTCCTGCCCGCACTCTCCTTCCTATATGCAGGAGCGCCTCCCTGCTGTGAGAACGTCCAATATGTGTCTCCAAAACTGGAGAAACTCCAATGCGCCCATCTCCGTGGTGTTCAGCCCACGTGCACCACAGGGAAGAGTAGAAGCCCATGTGTGGTGGGCATTGCGCACCGCCCATCTCCATGGTGTTCCTTCCGACTGCCCTTTTGAGGCGCCTCAAAAGCAGACTGCCCAGTGCCCACCACACATACCCGGTGCCCCCACTTCGCTCCTGGCTTCTGCTCCTTCCCTCTTTTCCCTTCCCACCCCGGTACCTCCACTTCGCCCCCCACCCCGGTACCTCCACTTCGCCCCCCACCCCGTCACTCCCATATGTAGATGCACCGACGCCTCTTCAGTGGGAAACTCCAACACACCTATCACTGAGTTCCAACCGCGCACCATGCATGTGCTTCTGCTCCCTCCCTCTTTCCCCTTCCCATCCCACATTCCCATATGTAGGAGCACCGACTCCTCTTTGGTGGGAAACTCCAACACCCCCATCTCTGTGTTCCGCCAGCTCACCACCAAATATGCCGACTACTATAATAGGTATTAGGTACAGTGATACAGTGGGATACACGGACATTCAGCATTAGGTACAGTGATATACAGACTAGTGTAAGGACGGCCGACTTGTCTCAAGAGGGAAACTCCAATGCAGCTATCTCTGTGTTCCGCCAGCTCAACATCAAATATGCAGACTACTATAACAGGTACAGTGATATGCAGACTTGAAACGTTAGGTACAGTGATATGCAGACTTGGTACGTTAGGTACAGTGATATGCAGACTTGTAACGTCAGGTACGGTGATATGCAGACTTGTAACGTTAGGTACGATGATATGCAGACTTGTAACGTTAGGTATGGTGATATGCAGACTTGTAACGTTAGGTACGGTGATATGCAGGCTACTACAACAGGTATTGTGAGACGCGGTCTTGTAACATTAGGTGTAGTGATATGCAGATTACTTATATATACGCGGACTGCTATTATGGGTACAGCGATATGTTGACACGCAGACTGTTACAAGGGGTACAGTACAGCGATATGCAGACTACTGTAATAGATACGCAGACTGCTATAATGGATACAGCGATATGCTGACTACTACATTGGGTGCAGCACGTGCTCACCTGGCACTCAAATCCCAAGGGTCCGTGCTCTCGCCTCAACTATAACGCATGCCTCTTTCCCCCACACACCAGGACAGGACTCATTTGCCCTCAAGCACTGCATGGTGCAGCAGCGGCAGCAGCAGCAGCGGGTCTTTGACCCATGCCCCTCTCCTTCCTCACCAGCACGCACACCTCAACTATGACCCTTGCCTCCTCTCTTTCCCCCACGCACCAGGACTCTTTCTGTTCTCAAGCATCGCATGGTGCAGCAGCAGCATGTGTTCTCCGGAGATAGCAAGCGCATCGACCTCTCACAGGCAGACGTTGCAAAGGTATGTATCGACCTCTCACAGGCAGACACACAAACACGGGCCCCAGCATCAGAGCGTCTCAATCAGCGGCAGCAGCACCAGCAAAATGTTTTTTCTTTTGACAGTGTCATACCAGCAGCAGCTGTTATTCCCATTTTGTGTTTTCGCGATGAAACTCTCTTGCGGACTCAAGGGCCGCATGACAGCCATGCCAGCCATGCCACCCATGCCACCCATGTAGACTGGAAATTCGAGAAAACTAGTATACGGGTTCTTTTCCACCTATTGACTGTCCCTTCTTGTTGCTTGAGATTTCGTTTTTGAGTCCCCATGGACCAGCGTAGATCAAAGCAGCAGTGAGAGAGCCGGGCCAGTGAAACTTTGCCAATCCCCTCGCGTGAAAGTCTGCTCTCACAACGCTCTCGTCATCTGTGCTGCTGCCCCCTCCCCATCACACCCCCGTTTCACATCGCACACCATCCCCATCACTCCCCATGCCCCATCGCACACCATGCCCCTTCCCACTCCATGCGCCATCCCACCCCATGCCCCATCACATGCCATGCTCCATCACATGCCATGCTCCATCCCACCCTATGCTCCATCACATGCCATGGTACATGGCAGGTAGAGGCAGCAGAGACAGGCAGAGCATGACCTGTTTGGCATTATTGCCACAGTGCTCCCATGTGCATGCCTGTGTTGGCACACCCCATGCCCCATCCCACCCCATGCCCCATCACACAGATTGGTGCATGGCAGATAGGGGCAGCGGAGACAGGCAGCGTATGTCCTATTCGGCATTATTGCCCCAGTGCCCCCATGCGCTCGTCTGCGTTGAATGGCACATGCCATGCCCCAATCCACCCCGTGCCCCATCCAACCCCGTGCCCCATCACATGCCATGCCCCATCACATGCCATGCCCCATCACATGCCATGACCCATCACATGTCATGCCCCATCACATGCCATGCCCCATCGCATACCATGCCCCATCACATGCCATGCCCCATCACATGCCATGCCCCATCACATGCCATGCCCCATCACATACCATGCCCCATCACATGCCATGCCCCATCACATGCCATGCCCCATCACATGCCATGCCCCATCACATGCCATGCCCCATCACATGCCATGCCCCATCACATGCCATGACCCATCACATGCCATGCCCCATCACATGCCATGCCCCATCACATGCCATGCCCCATCACATGCCATGCCCCATCACATGCCATGCCCCATCACATGCCATGCCCCATCACATGCCATGCCCCATCACATGCCATGCCCCATCACATGCCATGGTGCACGGCAGGTCGGGGCAGCAGAGACGGAGTATGATCTATTCGGCGTTGTTGGCCAGAGCTTCCTTGTCACCACTCCTTGCCACTCCACTGCCTCTCCTGGGTATGCTCCCCCCTGGTATTTTTGGGGTTCTTGGCCAGAGCTTCCTCATGAGTATGCTTGGGGTTGTGGGCCATAGCTTCCTTGTTACACTCCTTGCCACTCCGCTGCCTCTCCTGGTTGCGTTTCCTGGCTAGGATGCCGCTCCAAAAAAAAAAAAAAAAAACAGGCTTCGAAAGTTATTTGTTTCTTGTCTCGATGGCATGAAACTCGCCTTCTTATTGGAAGCTCCTAGTTGTCTGGGCGCCTTGCAATAACTCTTATGAGACGTCTCAGAAGTCACCTCGCTGGCGCTCGCTTTGTTCCTTTCTTGTAAACCCAAGGCTCTTAACTGAGAAACGGGTAGGGTAGCAGCAAGCTCGGTTCCTCCGACAGTGATCCAGGAATTAAGGAGGGCATTGTATGATAGGCAATTTTTTCACTACTACAAGACGCTTACATGCATGTTCAGAACGTACGCGTTTCGGCAATCAAGCCTTCATCAGCGTTCCTCCTGCGTGTTCCGAAACCTGCCCGTTCCACTCCTTGGAAAGAGTGTGCCGTGGGACATTCTACTAACGAGGTGAATCTTGAGTCGACTCAACAGTCACCTGCCTCTTCCACCTCCTGCCTCTTCCACCTCCTGCCTCTTCCACCGCCTGCCTGTTCCCAGCTCTTCTATAGGACAGTGATCCGCCTGATAGCATCAGCTGCTGCTCTTCTCCCCCCGGATCCACCTCCCCCCTCCTCTTCTTTACCTCAACTCCTCCTCCCCTCTTTCCTCTCCTCTCTCCTCTCTCCTCTCTCCTCTCGCATCTCCCCCCTCTCCTCTCCTCTCTTCCATGGTGCTTTTTCTTTCAATACTGAATTCATAGCCCCCTTGCAAATCCCTCCCACTTCAATAGACTCCCGTTTGTGCCTCTCGTTCCTTCCCTGCCACGCCCCTCTCTCCCATTCCCACAGCCTCGTTCTCAACGGCACAGAGATCCTCGTTAAGGAAGTGTGAGTGCCATACAATACAAACCCGTTGTTCTACAGTGATGACTATGATGATTGCCCTTCCTAGACTCTGCATTCCCACAGCCTCGTTCTCAACGGCACGGAGATTCTCTTTAAGGAAGTGTGAGTGCCATTGCCTATCCTTCAAGGTGGCTGGGTAGCCAACCAACCGACTAGGTTGGTTGGATGTGCCAACTAGCCAAGTGGGGCGAGTTGGCGAACAACCTGCACTCTTCTCGTGCTGATAGGTGAACCAGCTTGGCAAACTGGAAGGACCAACCCAAGCTAGCATATTGGGTTAACCCCAAATAGGGTGGTTACATTAAAGCTAGCTGGATAGACTCGAGCATGGTCAGTTTGACCAGTTGACCAGTTGACCAGGATTTGTGTGACCACGTCACTCAGCTCCCTCCTTACACCGCTCACCCTCCCTTGTATCTCAAGATCCTCCCAGCTCAGCTCCCTCAGCTCCCTCAGCTCCCTCAGCTCCCTCAGCTGGATTTGTGAGGATTTGTCTCTGGAGCTCTCCATCCGCACCACGCGCTACGTTGACCGCCTTGACCAGTTTGACTGGCGTTCCCTCTTTGCTCTTCCCCTTCCGGCTCCTCCCCCCTCTCCATGGAGCTCTCCATCCGCACCATGCGCTACGCTGTCGTCTCTGGCCAGTTTGACCAGCTTGACTGCAATTCCGAGTCTCTCCCTCCCCCCCACACCCCCCACCTCCCTCTTCTCCCCCTTCCAGCTCCTCCCCCTTGTCTCTGGAGCTCTCCATCCGCACCACGCGCTACGTTGACCGCTTTGACCAGTTTGACCGGGAGCTGAGGGCAGCATGGGAGCACCTGTGCGGGCTCATGGCCGATGGGGCAGCTACGGCTGGGCGTGGAGGAACGGATGTTGAAGATGCCATCCTTCGCCTTGCATACTTCTGGTGAGCGCTCGTGATGACCGGATTGACCAGTTTGACCGGGAGCTGAGGGCAGCGTGGGAGCATCTGTGTGGGGGCAATTTTTGAGGCGCCTCAAAAATCGTCTCAACTCACGCGGATTTTATATGGGGAATATTTTCATTGCATGGAGGTGTGCACGTAACCTTCAAAAGTTACTTGTGCGAGCCAAGTTACCAAGGCTTATCGACAGTTCGGAAGAAGACCCTCTTGAAGACTGACACCTGCAACCTCGGGTTTTTACCCACTGCTGTGGTGGCGAATGCCCATTGATAGGCAATCTGGGTAGTTGATAATCTTGAGAATTGTTTTGGAGGGTGTGGGTTGTTACTTAGCTCATGCCTAGACTCGTGATTTCTTATGTCCAGTAGCACTGATGAAGGCTCGGCGGGTTTGATCCCCGTAAGCCGAAACATGTTTGCGACCTGGTAAATTTGACTGAAGAGTTTTTACGAAGCAAATCTCTGCCTAGGATTTTTTACTCTCGTTCTTGTTGCTCAAGCGACTGACTTCGCACTGCTGCTCTTCCCAAGACCATGAGTGACGACGACCCGTGGGACTTCGATTGGATTCCATCCGACGAGGAAGAAGCCGGTACAAGTGGTCGCAGCTCGGTTAAGCACGTTCGTGGGGAGGGAGGATCATCACGCTCCGCAAGACACGCCAGGCGATCTGGAGCTGGGAAGAGAATCCCTCCACTGGCATTGACCTACGAACCCACTCTACTAAGCAAGCAAGCTGAAGCTCATCCCACCGGCCCGTCGACAAGTCGTCCAAGCGTCATGGCGGAAGCTGCCGACACCTCTCCAATCCCTCAACCTTTCAAGGGATGGACGGAGTCGGCCGTCAAAAGCTTTCGCGACGACTTCAAGACTTTGCTGAAGGCGAAAGAGAAGCTCAAGAAGATGAAGGATCTCGATGCTCAAGGTGTTTTGCTTCACAGCATCCGCACCAAGGCTGTCGAGTTCCAAACGAAGCTTCCGTCCGTTAAAGAGAAATCTGCTGCATCCGTCGCCGCGATTCACGAGGCGAACCAGAAACGGCTGCAGGCGGACTTCATCGCCTCAAAGGCACTGGAGGTTGAAGAGCTGCAGACAGCGGCGAATTCGCACGTCACCGCTCTAGCTGCAACGATGGAAGATTATATTCAAAGCCTGAGCACTAACCCCGATCTGGTGGTTTCTGATACCGCCAAGGAGAAGTTTCGACTGCTCAAGGGGAGATGCATTGCGAAGGCGAATTCCGACATCGCAGCTGCGAAAGATGACATCGTCATCAAGGAGCTGGATCGACAGCGGAAGGTAGCTGCTGAAGAATTGAAGAAGGCTGCTGCGTCCGAGGAGGTGCATGACATGGAAACCGAGACCGGGATTGAGAAGATTATGGACAAGCACGCGAAGCGGATTGAAGACAACTTTTGGAGGGAGCTCGCGCCAAAGATTGAATCCAATCTGATGAAGAAGCTGCTGAAAATCTTTCTCTCGGAGCACAGGACTCCTCCCGGGCCCCCACTGTTGACTCGAAGCAGAAGAAATCGTCTGCCGGAACGTCGAAGCCCTTCACTCCTGATCCTCAGGAGCGCCTCTCGGCTAATACGGCAACGGACTTGAAGCCAAAGAAGAAACGCGGGGGTAAGAAGAACAAAAAGAAGAACGGCACCGACAAGGACCAGCAAGCGGGTGGCCAGACATCTGAGAAGGCCAAGGGACCAAAAAACGGCGGAGGCGGCCCCGGAAAAGGGCCGCGCAAGAACTAACCAGTCACGACTTGGCGCTCCGCTGGTTCGGACGGTTGACAGTGCGGCAGCTGTCGACACGGATCCGGAACCGGGGAGTACATAACCTCAGCTCCAAGGTCTTGTCTTCGGACGAGAAGAAGGGGCTGGGGTTGGGACTGAAGTTCATTCCAACGCCTGCCGTTTCCCTGTCTGGTGCTGTGGAGCTCGACCAGCTCCTACGCCAGATTTCGCTTCGACTTTTCTTCAAGGATGACGGCGGTCGGAAGGGGGACTCGCGCTTTCGAGTGCGGAATCCCGACTGGCTTCCTGATCGGATTCAAATTCCGGAGCAGGTCTTCAAGGATTCGTCATTCGACTTGTCCTTCCTGTTGAAGGCAACCCGCCCGTTCCGACATCAGAACATCTCGTCTGGTGTTCGACGGGCGCTGCGCTCCATCGCTGCGGATCGACACGTGGTAGTGAAACCTGCCGACAAGAACGTCGGGATCACTGTCATGGACCGGAGTCACTACGTTCGCCTCTGTCTTGACCATCTTGACGACGCGACGACCTACGCTCCAGTTCATCGAGATCCTACCGCCGACGTCGTGCGGAAGCTGCGTGATCTGCAAAGCGTGTGGGGACCTGCTTTTCCCGAGAGCCTGTGGAAATTTTTCTTTGACAAACCGCGCGGAGGATGGCGACCAGCGGCGTTCTACATCCTTCCGAAGCTACACAAGAAGAAACTCGCGGGGCGGCCTATCGCAGCTTCGCATTCATGGGTGACTTCGAATGTTAGCCGTTGGTTGGACGCGGAACTTCGACCACTGGTGCTTCAACAGCCAACCTACCTGCGCGACTCCCTCTCATTGCTACTGATGCTGGAAAAGACCGCCTTTCCTAAAGGAATACTTCTAGCTACGTACGACGTCACCTCGCTTTATCCCAGCATCCCACTAAGGCGAGGGCTCGATGCGGTGGGCAATTTTCTTCAACGAGGGAGAATCGTGAATTCTCAACCAGTCATGGCCCTGCTGGAATGGGTCATGATGAATTCTTTCGTGGAGTTCAACAGCCGAATCTACCAACAGACACAAGGGACTGCTATGGGAACTCCTGCTGCAGTATGCTTTGCTGTCCTCTTCATGAGCTGGCTGGACGAGATTCTTTCAAGGCGGTGGTTTGGAACTACACCATTGTGCCACGTGCGCTACATCGACGACGGGTTAATAATTTGGCCCGGATCGAAGAGCGAATTGGAGGAGTACCTGAACACCTTCAACACGCTCGATCCAAACATCAAGCTCACGTGGCACATTTCAGACAGTTCGGCTGACTTCCTCGACCTGGTCATCTTCAAGGGTCAACGTTTCGCCGAGCAGGGTACCCTGGATCTGAAAACTTTTCAGAAACCGATGAACCGGTACCTGTACCTGCCTTTTTCGTCATTCCACCCCCGACACTGCAAGATAGGTTTCATACGGGCGGAGCTGAAGCTTTACCTCTTGCGCTCCTCATCTGCTCAAACCTACTTTGCTTCTAAGCGTGCTTTCTTCCAGCGGCTAAGAGATCGGGGTTATCCGGCTGATTTTCTGACACCCATCTTCCAGAGTGTTCTCTTCCGACAACGCCCGCTCCTATTGGAGCAGACTGAAGCTCGCCAGGCACACCGAATTTCTACTCCCCCTGACCGCGGGCCCCTTGTCTTGAAGACGCTGTTTACTCCGTTAACAGCACGTCTCAGGCTGGGGGTCCTTTTGAGGCGCCTCAAAAATCGTCTCAACTCACGCGGATTTTATATGGGGAATATTTTCATTGCATGGAGGTGTGCACGTAACCTTCAAAAGTTACTTGTGCGAGCCAAGTTACCAAGGCTTATCGACAGTTCGGAAGAAGACCCTCTTGAAGACTGACACCTGCAACCTCGGGTTTTTACCCACTGCTGTGGTGGCGAATGCCATTGATAGGCAATCTGGGTAGTTGATAATCTGAGAATTGTTTTGGAGGGTGTGGGTTGTTACTTAGCTCATGCCTAGACTCGTGATTTCTTATGTCCAGTAGCACTGATGAAGGCTCGGCGGGTTTGATCCCCGTAAGCCGAAACATGTTTGCGACCTGGTAAATTTGACTGAAGAGTTTTTACGAAGCAAATCTCTGCCTAGGATTTTTTACTCTCGTTCTTGTTGCTCAAGCGACTGACTTCGCACTGCTGCTCTTCCCAAGACCATGAGTGACGACGACCTGTGTGGGGCATGGCGCATGGGCAGGGACGGGGAAGAAAATGGGATGGATGTTGACGATGCCATGATTCGCGTTGCGTTCGCCTGGTGAGTCTCTGGTGCACGGGGCAGCATTGGTCGCATCACATCAGGAGTGTGGAGGAACGGATGTTGAGGAGCACCTGTGCAGACGATGGTGCATGGGGTGGGGATGTGGAAACACGGAAGACCTAGGCAACATGGAGGAATGGATGTAGAGGAAACCATTTCGCCTGGCATTCTTCTGGTGAGCGACACTTGATTGCCATGCTCACATGCCATGCTCACATGCCAAGCTCACATACCAAGCTCACCATGCCATGCTCACATGTCATGCTCACATGCCGTGCTCACGTGCCATGCACACATCCACGCTCACGTGCCATGCTCATATGCGATGCTAATCGTGAGCATGGATGCCATTGTGAGCATGCATGGCATTGGTGAGAGCATGCATGGGCATGCATGCATTGTGGCATGGGCATCATGGCGTTGTGAGCATGCATGGCCGTTGTGAGCATGCATGGCGTTGTGAGCATACATGGCGTTGTGACTCGTGAGCATACATGGTTGTGAGCATGCATGGCGTTGTGAGCATGCATGGCGTTGTGAGCATGCATGGCTTGTGAGCATGCATGGCGTTGTGAGCATGCATGGCGTTGTGACATGCATGGCGTTGTGAGCATGCATAGCGTTGTGCGCATGCATCGCGTTGTGAGCATGCATGGCGTTGTGAGCATGCATGGCATTGTGGTTGGCTCATCCGTCTCCTTCCACAGTTTTCACAAAAAAACTGATTCAGTAGCAGGCACTCCCTTGTCCCCATGCCACCCTCCCCAGCCACTTCTTGTGGTGCTCCATCTCTGCAGCAACTTTTCATTATTGTCACAATTCCATGCATTCGCTGTTATCACAAACCCCTTATGCAGGTACCAGGCACTCCCCCTGTCTCGAGGAACAGCCGTGGTGGGATCTGCATCCCTCAGTGGCCTCTTCCCGCGGTTCTCTGCTCATTCAATACCCTTTCACTATTCTAACGCTTCCATATCTCTGTTGATGTCACAATCCATGCATCCAGGTACCAGGCGCTCCCCCTGTCTCGAGGCACAGCCGTGGTGGGATATGCCACCCTCCTCGGGCTCTTCCTGCAGTGCCCATTTATGCAACAACCACTCGTTACTGTCACAATTCCGTGCCTTTTGTGTTATCACTTCCCCTTCATTCAGGTACCAGGCGCTCCCCCTGTCTCGAGGCACAGCCGTGGTGGGATACGCCACCCTCCTCGGGCTCTTCCTGGCTGCTGGCAAGGAGATCACAGCAAGCATTCCCCGAGAATGCAGGTACGTCCACAAGCATGGTCGAGCGCACACCATACACTCCTTCTGTTCACCTGTGCCTGAGGACTACAGCCGTGGTGGGATATGCCACCCTCCAAGGGCTCTTCCTGGCTGCTGGGAAAGAGATCATTGCAAGCATTCCCCCTAGAACGCAGGTATGACTGCCAGCATACTCCAGCCTGTGGACTACAGCTGTTGTGGGATATGCCACACTCCTCGGCCTCTTCATAGCTGCTGGGAAGGAGATCACTGCAAGCATTCCCCCGAGAGTGCAGGTATGAGCGCCTATTATCACCCCCTACAAATACCTATGGCAGTGCATACTGCAGCCATGGCGGGAAATGCCAGCCTCCCTGCTGGCAAGGACATACCAGCAAGCATTTACCCAGTGTTTTTTAGAATTCTCAAAAACACCCTGCAATAACAGTAAGCATTTCCCCCAGGATGGAGTTATGAATGACCACCTATCAATCAAATGGCAGCTCATACTGCAGCCATGGTGGGATATGCCACCCCCCTCAGCCTCTTCCTAGCTGCTGGGAGGGAGATCACTGCAATTTTTCCGCCTCGGATGCAGGTATGTGTCTGGTACGAGGGTGTCTGATCAAGGGTGTCTATTGCGTGTGTATAGACAACAATGCTTCTACTGATACCTTTGACTATGGCCCATATGCCCCTCAGTGATCTGGGAAGCACTATTGACACCCTAGGTTCAGGACTTTATATCGAGGATGTCGCAGTCGGAATATCCATCTGTTATACGTGTGTAGTCATAGCTGAACTTTATGTTCAAGTTGGTGTACCCCCCCTGACCCTCAGGTGGACTGGGAAGCAATGCTGACCCCCTCAGTGGAGGACTTTATATCGAGGATGTCAGAATGGATGTATCCGTCTATCGTCGACGCAAGAAAATTCTACAGCCTGCCTGGCGTCCACCAGGCATTCCCCACTGTGGAGTCTGTGTTACGTATGATGGCTGATATTTGAATCACCATTCATAAGGTAATTTGTATAAGATGCTTGAACTAGGTCCATCACTAATATCTTTCTTAATTGTCAAACATCAGTTCCTTATTATTGATGGATGTTATTTTTGTGCGCTACAATGTCAGCCTGAAACCATAGCAGATTGTTCAAAACCATAAAAGAAGTGGTACGAGATAAAATAGGCTAAGGGGCTGTTTTGTAACAACTTAATACTCCATAGAAGCTTGGCTGGCACCTATGACGGAATTCTGGATGCTCCATAGAAGTTTACTCCTCGCGCATCTGTGTCTGGCCCGTTGCTTGAATCCTCTCCTCTTCTTCGCACTCGTGCGACTCGACTGAAGGACGTCTCTCGTATTGTCTGAGCCTTCTTTGCGGCTCCGTCAGTCCCTCGCC